GAGACCTCTCCCCCTTAAGGGACATCATCATCACAGCCTACCGCGAGCAGACCTCTGTTAGCGACATCGTTGCCTTGCCGAAAGACAAGTTCGATTTAGCCATAACCGATCGGACTCTATATCGCCGCCTCCAGGAGTGGAATGAACCTCTTCACCAGCAGCGTACTGCAGATACAGGTCAGCTTCGCTCTCTCATCCAAGATGAGTTTTTTACACAAGGGTCATCGGATTCCGAAATCCTACGCTATGTCCGTTCGCTGGGATTGCCTCTCTCTAAGGCTGGTTTGGAACGCATTCGCAAGGACATGGGGATTTTCCGTCGACGTACTTCAGCCCAACTTGAAGCACAGCTCCTCCAAGCGGTTGACTTTATGGAAACACCTTCTCTTTCTTCCATTCTCATTCCTCGCCTTGGACGCCGGTCTCTTTGGAAACACGTTCTTCAGGTTGCCCACATCCCGATTCCGGGGAAAGCTCTCTACGAAACCTTCAGCCAACTATATCCCCAAGAAGTCGCACGACGATGGCAGCAGAAGCGTGGCAAGCGTGGAGGGTTCACAGTGCCGGGGCCCAACTATACGTGGCCAATCGATGCGTACTGCAAATTGCCCTCCCTCCCGACAGTCTCAATGGTAAATGACTGCGATTTGCTTCGGAGCCTCTTTCGTCGGACCGTTACTGCAATTGTTGAAGCAACCAACTTCCCAACGTTTATGGAATCCTGTTAGTTAGTTTGTCCTTTCCTCCTGAAATTCAAGGCTGCCAGCATTGCATCGACATGCTCACCCAAGGTAAACAGAGACCGCAAGGAGACGAGTCCTACCAACTTTGGTTTATTAAGGAAATTGTCTGGTATCTTGGCGGAGCCCTGCGATGAGAACCTAACGCTAACTATCGCACTCCTTGTCCCTGAAACAACGCCATTTCGAGATCCTACCATGCGAATACTCTTCTGGATTGCCCTAGTTCACTTTCTTATGAGCGGCGCTTCTTAATCGGACATCTGCCAGCAGACCGCTTGTTTTCAATCTCATCCTTCACCATTTGTGCCCATCCCTCAAGCTGCTCCTCTGAGAGCTCGTCAAGCTCGTCCGAAGTGTACATTTCGAACCTGTCCTTCTCTTTCTTAGCAAACACCTCAACCCGCTCCTGCTCTGCCGCTGTTTCGGTTAGCCTAGACAAAACCTACAAACAACGAGAATAACATACCAATACGAAGGCTGCACGCTGTGCTCTGCCCAGAATAATAGCAATTGGTGCATGCTCCAGCACCGTGCTTAGTGGTGGGGACACGGCAGTCGGAAGCAGGGCCACGGGACTGAAAACTGCCGCACTGCTTGCACTTTGGGTTCTGGTATTGCGTCGGAGTAAAGATGTAAACAGCCAGAGATGTCGCACGAGTCTGGGTATCGAACTTCGGCTTAGCAGTCGTCGCCTCGCCTTGGATGAAATACTCGTGCGGGGTAAAAAGACGCTGGACAGCCTAGCAATAACTATGTGAATGGAACACGTTTGGCATTTTGCTTTTGGACGGGTGATCATACCTTATTCTCATGTAGGATCTTAGCGACTGGAGCGAAGCGGCACTGACAAAGCTCGTTCACAATCCAGGCCGTATACTCAAGGTCGGTTGTACCCTCCTCATATCTCTCCTGAGTCAGCTTAAGCTGGCTGTCCTTCCAGGTAAATGAAGACAGCGCAGCTGGCATGACGATAGGAGGTCGGAATTGACCGTAGTAACATCAAGCGAAAGAACAGGGTTGGCACGTGGAACGGGCAAGCAGACAATACAACGGGGCTTGAAAGCATACGAATTGACCAGTAGCCGTACGCCAGGTGGTATTGAAACGTGTGGCGTTGTGGGAAAGAAACCTCGGTTTTTGGGAATGAGCAATAAAATATTGGGGAATTGGACTTAAACCGTGGTGGCTGAATTCACATGGGTGTGCATGCAGGGATAAGTTTTGGGTTTTGTCAGAGTTTGAGCAGGGCACCGCCGTAAAGGGGCCAGTTCAGTTCAACAACAGTGGACCACAGGTCTCGGTTGTCCCGTGCATAACTAATGCATTCGAGGCGGAAAACAGGAAATCTCTCATAAACCCGGCCAATTAGCATTACCAAAAGACTGTAATGTAAAGTGGAGAACAAATTTCGCTCCTTTTTGAATAGTGATTCTACATCGAACGCCCAACCTTGCACTACCTCTTCCAGATCAATCCAGCTTTATGTTCTCTGGTCAAGAATCGGGCTTCGGCCTTCTACATGCTCCCATAAAAATCTGTTCGCGTTGTCGGAGACAGTTCCGCCGGAGGCACACTTGTCCTAAGAAACGGCCAGAACACCGGTCGCCTTGGATAGGGCGGGGTAGCAACCCCATAGCTGGGATGTCGGATGCCAACTCAGCTACAAACCCGGACGATTCGGCTCTGGGCGCGCAAATCGACGGCGATACTGCGGATACACGAGGTATCTACTCGACTCTGTCTCACACTCGTCGCCCATATAGTGGGTTGTCGCCGGCACCGGCGTATGGACTGGATTCCGGTCCAATTCCCAACACGTTCCACTACGACGACTCGGCTGGATTGCTAAAGTTATTGGTGTTCTTGGGCGGGAACGTGAGTTGGAAATTCTTGGAACGATTACGTGAAGACAAGGTGACTTGGGGAATCCGTGGCGACATCCAGCTCCAGCACCCACGAAATATTCCAGTGGTTGCGGATAAGGGTTGTTACGGCTAGTTACTGCATGCAAAGGGCGAGGCCTTCGCTCAGTATATCTATTGAACTGAAGACAATCAACTGTACAGAAGAAAAGAGGAATCGGTGCGACAGCTCTGGTGGGCAGGGCTTTTGAGGGCTAGCCCCACAGTCCTGATTTGGCCATGATTGGATGTATTGTGACGGCCACAGTGAGTCCTGGATCTGAGATCGCGGACCACTGAGCCGTGCCGTCACACCTATCACTAGCTAGATTTATTTTTGGCTCAACGGCCAACTGCTGCACTTACTTCCACCTCATCAAGCATGAGTCCGACTTTCGCATGGCGCAGCAGCCGACTTGTGCCCTGAGTCCCGCACACATGTTGTCACAGGATTCCTGTTCCTGTATCCGGGCCACGGATCCGAGCAATGGATCTGGCCACGCAGGCCACGTATGCGTACGTCATGTATATGCCATGTCCCGGACCTCTACACCGAACCTGCACTGGGCCAGCATCTGCATAAGACATGGTCGCATGCCCACACGCTAGATAGGTAGTCTTGCTCTCTTCGTGCAATATCATATGTATGTGCAGGCTGACCAGACCTTGCCGTGGTGCCCGTCACACATGTCCTGGAGCTAGTTCTGCGCCATCCAGCCGCCTCTGACGCCATCTACGACGACGAGGTCTTGGGCTACTACTTTAGCGGGATTATGCTTCTAGTTTTAATAGGAGGCTAAATAGAGAAGAAAACTACTTAGCTAAACTAACCTCAAGTTGCTCTTGCTATTGTTGTGCCTATGCGTCTTCGAAGAGCAGGTATTACTTACGGCCGGCTAGGGAACAAAAAACGGCAGAGGATTAGCGATGCCCTAGCACTGGCAATAGCAACCTGTCGGCTGGGCAGACTACTAGCAATAGCACTGTGTTATGCCCAGCCTTGCCACACTTAACATAGTATGCCACCCGCTGCATCTTCCTATTATAGTATAACTAACGAGGCTTACTTGTAGCGTTAGGCCGGCATTCTATAAATAGTGATATGTCATTAGTTTAGTTATCTGTGGTCCACAAGAAACGTCCTTGCCGCACCATTTAGATGACGTCGTCGGGATTCCAGGATTCTGGTCGCAGAAGGTTCAAACGCGGAAGAAGCAGTGGCCGTTTTTTATTTAGACCAATCTTGAAGCAAATCAATATGTTGATAAATACTTTAGCTCCAAGTGTATTGTATTCGAATGCTTAGGTTCGACATCTTCAGATTCCACTTAACATAGATCAGTCGCTCTCATCTCCCATCTCTTCCAGTATGGCTTCGCGATTTACCACAGCTCAGGTAGGTAGTTCAAAGAGTACAAAAACAGACACTCATTATCTAACTTTATAGACCGAGAACAATCTTCAGGCCGCGTTCTATCCGGCCACTGGCCCAGCTGACGACCCAGTCACCAATGCCCTACGGACCTTGTCCAACACCTCATGCAAAATAAGGAGTGCCTACGATACTCTCGCCCAGTACAAGCGGGCCACTGATGATACGTGAACCTCTCTGATGAACACAAACCGATACCTTCAGTCTGTGGCCGATTACCACCAGCATCAGGCTGAAGCACTCCATCAGGCTCAGTCTACTGCCGCAAACCACATTGCCCGTCTAGACAAACAGAACGACGAGCTCCGTGCCAAGAATCATGAGTTGACTGACTTGGTCAACGAGTTGCTCGCTGAGATTGATGGACTGCGGGAGAGAACTTCTAGGGAATGCAGGTCCCCGACGACTTCCGAAACCCTGAACACTGGGGAGGGTCAGAGCCCCGAAGATGAGAAGCAGGGAACGCAACAGGGTGACCAAAAATCTGAGGCCAAGCCAGCAAATCGTGTACAACACTGGATACAACAGGTACTTGAACCGTGAGATCAGTTGGGGAGCTGCTATTAGAGAAGAGGAAGACTTATTGGATCACTTACAGCACTAGGTAGTTGCCAATTCACCTTGAATAAAGCGAGAATTACTAGTGTAGTTGAATGTGAGAAGGCTTAAAACCCCCAGATATCTTATCGGCCAAGAAACTTGGGAGCAGGCACCCGAGATTCCGGCACTGGACTTAACCTGCAGCGGAAACTCTGTTTTCCTACGGGAACCAGGAAGAGTATCGAAGTGACTGGAAGGCGGAGACTGGCGTGCTAAGAAGTACGTCACCAGGTCAGCATCGCTCTCCAGCGCTGTAATATCCCCATCGTGCATGGCGACAACCACTTCAATGTTTTCTTTGTGACTCGTATAGTTGGCCGCAGAGACGGGTCGTCTGTGTTGAACCGCGAGCTTGTCTTTCGGCAGGTCCACGCCGGAAGAGGGCTGAGGCATGGGGCCAAGTAATGAAGCGGTGCGCGCTCATCTCTGAGCCTTTCGTAGCTCAATCTAACCAAGCCAGAACTCTGGGCGTCCAGCTCCTCGGACTGGGCTTCGCTCAGCTCAATGTTTTCATCTGTCTTCGACCATCTTATTGCGAGTCGGCCGCACTCTCGGCACTGGCCTCTGTCGCGAGAACTCATCCCTTGAGATATGGGAGCCGTTCATTGACTACCCGTATACCGACTTTAAAGTTGTCGATAGAACGAGCTGGTTCAGGGGTTCTGAAAACGAGGATAAGACTGACATATATCCGGGGCATGTACCGGTTCAGCGAGGATAGAGACACGAATTGAGACATGGTCTAAGATCCTGATGCTGTATTTTAGACTGGAGTACTGAGAAGCAGGATCTATGGATGTGAGATGAATCGGTCGTTTTTGTCTCCAGTTGCCGTTCCTGCCAACTTTCTCAACCATGGGACACGCTGGAATAGCGTCCCCGACGCATGCTGAAACACCTCCCCAGTCACGCCCACCCTCTATTCAAAATTCAAGGCAAGCATGGATTCACGTTTCCTGGCCAACTAGTACTTGATCTCTGATTAACTAATGCTGACTAAATTTGTCCCACACACACCTCGAGCGGTGTCGCTAACAGTTCATCTTGAGTATGATCCCCTGCACCATGTCTGCCGACAATGAACAGAAACGGGACCCACTCATACCCTCCACAACAGAAAGAATCTCGTCCCCAAACTCCGCCTTCCAATCCGATTTGCTATGGTCACCCGTGTCAATCCCTTGTGGTTGCGCAACAAAGAACAAAGTCACATGGTAATGCGAACCCTGTAGCTCCAAATGGCAGACGCCGCCAGACGAGGTGCTCGCAGCGCATCGTATATACCACTCGGTTAAGCCTGCTAGTTCATCAACTCTTAACTACATAGGCAAGATGATTAGCATAGAGCATGTTCTTTCTGCAAATATACAGATGGAGGAGAGATGGTAGAGCGTAAACGAGAGGAAGCCAGGCATCAAGACGAAAACCAGCTAGCTTTTGCCCGGAGTGGTTACAACCGAGTAGATATTTCTTGTTTTTTACTAGCAAGAGCAGATCAACAATGCGGAGATAGCAAAGGGGGCTTCCGTCTCTAAGTTCTGAGCCGAAGGAAGAAAGGCTTGGTTGGTTGATTGGAATTCATTTCGCCCGGATGCACGAAGCCTAAAGGGCCTTGGCACGGTAACTACATCCAATTCGTTGACGTTCAATCATCAACTCGTATAAAAGAAAGGCCAACCAGTGAGCTAATACGACGTTAACTTCAATCACGTGTGATCAAAGCATGCGATCATGCAGCAAAATTCTGTGGGTTTGCGCCACTGGCTTGGCGTTGATTGCCCCATATTCATCTTTTGGAAGGAGGCGTAGAAAGCGTCGCGGTTCCTGGCGGTTCTTATTTCACATTTTTTTTTTGGTCGCCCGCAGTAGCGCGATCCAAACTGTCGGGTCAGCTTGTACCTAGAGGTCCCGACAGGGAGACAGGGCCATAATTAGCCGCGATTGGCTGAGCCGCATGAGCGCGCACGATGTAACCCATCTGTTGGGGGCACCTTTGGTTGTTGAGCGGTGTCACTAACAATATTTTAGCGAGGTTGGTAGTTCTGTTACGCTCTGCTGCACAAGGTCACAAGGATGGAGAGGAACTATTGGTAGCTTACATGGGCTTTCTAAGACATATGACCTACCTAAAGTGGGACTGTAACCCATCGACATTCCAGCAAGAAGACACCGGAAAGGTAAGAACAACACGACTTGGAAGCACTTCACATACACACCCCTTACACGCTTAGAGACACCCTGGCAGCTTCCGGAGCTGCCAATGGCTCAACCATTTCAGTAACCAAGCCCCATTGATAACTTTGAGCGTCCGAGCAGTTTCGTCTGCTGCCACTATATTGAAAGTCTCGGTTTTGGGTCGTTCTGCTGTCCGATGGGTTCAGTCGGGGTTCTGACAGCTGAGCGATCGCGACCGCTCTGCCGCAGCTTTTCGATTGCCTTCCAGGATGGATCAGATCCCGACGAGTATGGTGTCGGGGGACGGTGACGTTCAAGTTGATCTCGCCAATAGCGAGACATGGTTGATGATGACACAGGCTGCTAACAACTCGACGAGGGGATTGAAGGCGAACGATAAACCCAGGAACTTGGTTCTTTTACCAGCTTAGCAGCCCGTACGACTGTAGCGATCAAGGAGGGACCGTTCTCCCGGAAGCACGTCTACCGTCTCCCGAGTTCCGCGGCCCTGGGCGCCCGGAAGCCGAAGAGCCGAGGACGTCTGTTCAAAGGCCCAAGGGCTCAGCCTCGTAGCTACTCTGTTAATAGTAACGGATACTTTTATTTCCGGTTACTCTGAGGGAGGCTCAGTGTGTGACCACTAGAAACAGCAACGCTGCGCCTCAGTTGCCAACTCTAGCAAGCACCACTTCCAGTATATCTGAGGACAAGTAGCATTCATGTGCAATCAGACCTCGAACTTACTCACAAGCGCCATACACGATTGATTATACCCCGGTCTTCTACAATGGTTCGTAGGAGGGGCAGGAGCCAGGAACAAAAAGTCCGCCGACGGTTCAGCGAGAGACTGAGCACAATTCGGAGTAAGATTACGGAACTCAACACCCTTACGGACGGCCGAGCGGTCATGGTGTGGACATACAAGGGCAAGACGTCGGTTTGGGGAGATGAACGGGTTCTCCAGAATCTGGGTTACAGTGCCCAAGCCCCCCCAAGTCATCCTATCCACCCGTCTTGGTCGCCAGCCAACTCAACTTCTTTCTCTGCTTCACAAAACGGGTATGAGCAAACTGCCGTCACCGAGGCGGATGGAATTGAATTACTCGATCTTAGATTTCTCCCAGAAACAAAAGGTTCGCCCGCATCCGCGAGTGGAAGGGGCCCTCCTATCTACCCGTCTTGGTCGCGAACCGACTCAACCTCTTCATCTGCTTCACAAAGCTCGGGTGTGAGCAAACTGCTAGCGCCGAGGAGGAAGGTATTGAACTACTCAATTTTGGAGTTCTTCCAGAACCCAAAGATTTGCCCGCCTCTACAAGTGGATGGGACTTGAGATTAAGGGCATGGGATATCGCCTCTCTAGCCTTTGACTTTTTTGGTGAAAAATAAAACAATAAGAATTGGGATCATTCGGCGGGGATCGCCGCCGGCACCACCAGCAACTGCCATACCGCGACGATTCGTTCGTGGCGGCCATGGCGAATCTGACGATAGAGGATGGTAAACCGTAGAAGGAAAATCGGAAAATTGGGTGTTGTGGAGAGATTGGGCACCGTTTAGCTAGAACTAAGGTGTGACTGGTCTTGCCTGGTGATGTGGTTCTGGAATGTGTGGGTTTGGTTGAGGGTCAAAAGGTAGCTGCCTGCCAGACTGTGCCAGAGCAGAGGTATCATGAAACAACTGAGCTTGTTTATTTACTGTTGTGGCGAGTTTGATCTTGATTGACTGTTTGTGGCAGATATACTGTTGCTCTCCAACACCGTCATCATCACAGGGTTGCAATTTGTGGTGGAGCTAGTCCACGGCATCAACATCACCCACAAATCACAAAGAAGGTCAAGTTGAGTATAGTCACTAGCGAAGTCGGCTTCCGCTTTTTACTCACCCTTCAATTGTCTGAAGACCCCGTTTCGGGCCTCTTGGCGCTTCACCGTACCTGCTCCCACGGTCAAATGTTGAGTCACAGTCCAGCACAGTGCATCCTTCAGTTGACTGCAGTGCTGCCCACAAGGCAAATCAAGTCAAATCGGCACACCGACTTGCTTTGATTTGAGGCTAGAGATACTCGACTTGCCTTGTCAGTTCCTCGACTTGCGTTGACCCAAAGCTTTGCCAAGCCGCTTACATAATCCCCCGAAATGGGTTGTTCCGCACCGCCCCGTTTTTCCCCCCCTGAGCCACCCGGATCCGAGTCTCCCAGTCTTTACTGCCTCTTTGCCCACTGTTTCAGACACTCCACCATGTGATAGTATTGTCTTCGAGGCTCTGGCGTTTTAAGCCCACTGTAAGCTTCGCACTGCTGAACACCCTCTCGCACTCCGCAGACATCGCTGGGATAGTAAGGACGTTGAAGGCCATCGTGGAAAGGCGAGGAAGACGTTGCCTGTTGTTGTTGCTACAGCGTTGTACAGTTTGGTTGTTTGGAGGCCCATGGCCGGGCCCGAACTTTACCAGGTGGGGGGTTTTTCCGGCCCGATGACCCACCTGGGCCAGCCGGGTTATGGACACTTGCCCCCTGTTTTTGAGCCCACATCAACCGCAACACTAGAAAAACCCTCAAGTTGGCGTTCCTGGAGTGCTAGAGATACTGGGAATAGCTTTAAAGGTAGTTAATTCTGACCTCAAATCAGTCAAGTCGAGCGGCCTTCGACTTGACTTGCCTTGACCAAATTTTGGGGTCGATTTGACTTGCTTTGACTTGCGTTGAGCCAAGCCTTGGCTTGGCGCTTTGACTTGTGGGCAGCATTGGTTGACTGGCCTCCCTCGGCGTCAGGCGGTTGACGACACGAGTCAGAACGACGGGATGCTGGGCCAGTGGGCTGGTTGGCCAGCCAATCGGATGAGCCTTTTGACGCCAACCGCATTGTCTGCTGAGAAGCTGGTTTCCCGGACTAAGGGCAGTGGCTGACGCTTTGGTCTGCTTACCGAAGGCGCCAATCCATCATCGCTATCCGCTGGGCTCAGCCCGTTCCTGCAAGCTAGTGAAGCATAACGTTAGCCAATTTGAGCCATAGGGGTGTCGACCTACACAGAAAGAAATCCGGCCATACTGTGGGATTGCTCGGGGAAGAGAGTCAGACAGGGGAAGCGTCCGAGAAGACCGGCGTTCCTCGCCGTCTCTCAGGTAACGGTGTCCGAGAAAGGCGGCGGCACCGGCTCCGTTTTTCGAGCTTTCGGGGGCCGGGACGGGTCGAAGACCTGTTGTGCCTCGCACCTGGCGCCAAAAAAAAAAGAAAGAGGGTTAGGGCTCAAAAAGCGCAGAAAGGCCCCGCGCAGTAATGCCCCACAAAAAGCCCCACTTATGTGCCAACACGACCCAGACTTTTCTACAGCCTATGGTCGTATGTGCTTGTTTTAGTTGTGAGTCGAGTCTATATGCTGACTCTGGGCTGTGTTAGACCGGTTGGTGGTGTGGCTTTGGTACGATCCTTTGCTGTGGCCGGGAAGAGGACAATAAGGACGTGGTCGTCACTTCTATTCCATGTTGCAGGACCTCCAAGATTCGCCATTCTGGGACATGGGAATCCCCAGCCGCGAGGAGCTCGGCGCGATATTGAAGATCCAGAAGAAAGAGGACAGCACTGTGACGGCGAATATCCAGGGTAGGCAGACCAATCTGTCTTCTGCGCACGAAGACGGGTTCCACAGGAGCCCACGGCGGCCCGTTCACGGAGAGGAAAGACCAGCAGACGGGGTCGGACCGGGCGGACAGATGCGGCTCGAACTCGATCGTTATGCAACGTACGTCGATGTCGCCTTGGGTCTCACGAGGCACTGGACCCTGAACGAGCTCTAGTCGATGGCAGTCTTGCTCCCAGCGGCGTTCCTCGACGAGTGCGGCACGCAGCTGCAGGAAGAAGACGGGAGGCAGCACTTCCATTACGTTGGCGGCGAGGGGGGCACGGGTAAGTCCCACGTCATACACGCCATCAAGGACATATGGCCCGCATAGGAAGCAGTATGTAACCCGGCGTCAAGGCGAGGAGTGGGATCCAACTTGTATTGTGGAAAAGCATCAACGCAAAGGTGGCTGGATGTTCTGGAGTTGCTTCTCTGGCTTGGGCAAAGGCCCTGGAATCTTCTGGGAAAAGGATTGGGGAAAGATCAATGCCGAGACTTACCACGCACATACTGTACCTGTAATTTACGGCTGGCTACAGTTGTGTAAGGAACAGCTTGGTAAGGGTCTGATCCTGATGCAAGACGGTGCTCCAGGGCATGCAGCTGCGGAGACAAAGGGAGATCTCCGTGAGCGAGGCATTGTCGTGATGGAGTGGCCCCCGTTTTCACCAGACCTGAACCCGATTGAGTCTTGTTGGAATTGGATGAAGGTTGGATCGAAGACCGGTATGATCTTGAAGAAAAGCCCTCGTACTATGAGCTGCGCCAGTATGTCAAAGAGGCTTGGGAGGCACTGCCGGATGACTACTTGAAGGCGCTGTTGGCCTCGATGCCAAATCGGTGCAAGGCGGTGATTGCAGCCAAGGGCATGCACACAAAATATTAGCTAGCTCTTTGGTGTATTTACTGTTGGATAGTGTGGATACCATGCCCTCGGTTAGCACGGGTACCCCGCAAGGAGATTTTCATTACACGCGCCTGCAAATGCGCGCGCGCTCATCCGCCACTCACACCCCGGCTAATGCGCCTCCGTTTCGTGTCCGCCGCTCGCTCATTATGGTTTCATTTAGTTGGCCATGAGGCTATCACATGCACACCTCTTGACGATTGCCCGGGGTCGCTCGCTTCCCCGATCGCAGGCATGTTCCGCTAATTCATTCCTTATTTGTTCTCGAGTTGCTCGCTTACCCGCTTGCGTCAAGTAACCCTTGTCTAGCTCATGGTCGCTCAACCGCAGCTTTCGTGCCCCGCACCATCCCGGAAGTCATCGTCTGGAAGGACCTCGTTTGCACGTGAGCGGAGGGGCAGCGAGACGCAGGGGAAGTACATGAGTGAAGTGCGAGATTGGAAAGTGAGTAGTCGACATCAACATCCCGCTGTCTGGGGAAACCAGATGCTGACTCAGATTCTCTCTTACTTGGTGCAGCTTATCGCCGTTTCTACAAAGCGAGGAAAGTTTTGACGTCCAGAAGAAGTTGTGGGCAGAGTTGGGAGAGATTCTCGAGGCGAAGCATCCTGGAATCATGGGCATCATATAATCAACCACAGATCCTTGTCCGAACAGGCGAAAATAAGCGGAGGCAGATGTGCTGGGCGTGAATTGGGTACCTTATCGGGATACGGACGTGAATGCCGACCGGGGATGGTCATATGAGCTTGTCTAATCGAGCGACGTGTTATCTCACTCTCAGAACATTCACAAAATAATTATGTTACTCAGCCCCTGCTATCAGAGCAAAGTGATCCAACTTGTCGGAGAGCACTGCATCGTCATGATCCGTGCTGAGGGTGACGTCCTCCCACCGATCCATCACTACGGCCTCCTGTTGTCTTTTGATCTTCCACCATCGAAGAGAATCCGAACCCAGAGCAATCCGTGAAGACCAGACTCTGCCAGCCGCCATACCCTCGCCCTTGACAACATCAGCCATTGCCTTTGCGACCTTGGCAGGGTCTCCCGGAGGCATTCCCCATTCAGCCAGATCCTGCGAGGCAGCGGTAAACCCTGGCACGTATGCTTCGATGGGTTTCTTGTCCTCCTTGTTCTGCTCCAACGCGACTTTGTCCTTCTCGCGCGGTTCGAAGAGGCGCGTGGCAACACCGCCGCACTCAAAGGCGATGCAGCGGATGCCGAGAGAGGAGACCTCTTTGTGCAGCGATTCGGCAAAGGAGCTGTTTGTCCACTTAGTCATGTTGTAGTACGTCGTGTAGGGCATGTTGCCCCAGAGTTGGTTTGAGGCTGTGAAAGTGATTGTTCCTGATCCCTGTTGGCGGAAGAATGGGAGAATGGCCCGCGTCATGTGAAGCTGACCGAAGACGTTGGTTTGGAAGATGCGTTCTGCGTCGTCATCGCTGCGCAAAGCACCAGAGTCAGCTGATGAGACCCGATCTCAAAGATGGACCTGACCTACCTGATATCCTCGAAGGGGGCAAATAAGAATGTGCCGGCATTGTTGACAAGAACATCGATGTGTCCGAAAATCTGCCAGGCCTCCTTGACTTTGCTTGCAATGACCTTGGAACCAGACGTGATGTCGAGCTCAAGAAGCGACACATTCTCCGAAGCGCGATCGGCCATCTGATCGACCTGTCTGTTGGCAGCAATCACTTTGTCGCCTCGACGGACGATTTCCTCGACGAGTGCAGCTCCAATTCCCGCCGAGGCTCCTGTTACAAGCCATACAAGAGGTGCCATTGTCGCGAACTGCAGTGCCTCAATGGAAACAATGAATATAAAGGAAGAGAAATCGAACTCGTGATTTTACTAGAGATAGGCAGTGAAAGTATGAAATGCACTTTCGTAGTATTCATGGTTAGAATACCTCGATCCGTGACGAGGAGACTCTTATATACCGAATCGGGCACACGTGTGGGCTCCTATAATGAGGTCCTACCTAGGCAAACAGATCAAACAGAAAGGCTCGTCCGCGCACGAAAAAGACGATTGATAAACAAGCTAAGGACTTTATCGACAATTCCTGGAGTCTTTCGAATCAGACATAGTCTATTAGTAATTCGACAACGAAATTCCTCCGACGGTCATTGACAAGCCTGGCGACAACATCAGCTGAAGGTGGAGCACATCGGCCCGATTCGCTCGCTAGGCTATTTCGTCCGCGGACGAATTCGCCCATCCGCGGCAACCCGCAACTCTCCCGCGGCCAGCATCACTTCGACCGCGCACAGTGACTCGATGGGCTATCCATCCGAACGTCTCAAGCATGGTGCGCGGCTCCCCGAGGACGTCTGCGTCTGCATCCGCGTCCTCGACCTCGACGCCGACACGTAAGATCATGCGGAAAGGGACGCACAGCTGCACAGAATGCGAGTACCTCCCTCCACGCCCAACTGCTCCGGCACGCCAGCTCATGCGCATTTGTCTAGGTCGCCGTCGAAAGATTCGGTGCGACTCGATGCCAGGAGCTTCAGTCTGTTTCAACTGCAAATCTCGTCGCACACCATGTGTAAGCCAGAGCGGTGATGGCGCGAGACTGCATTTGCGTCGGCGCCCAGAATCCGACTCTCCGGGAAACAGCAGCAGTGAGGCCCCTACCTGGACGGCGAGGAATCCAGGCGTCCCGCAGGCCCCAGACGTTCTGGAAAACAGTGTCACAGATCAGCGAGCACCCTTCCTCGCGGTTCTGGACCCATCTGGAGTGAGTCCCCCATGTTGGCATGCAGTTGTACGTTCAGCAGACTTGACAAGCAAGCACAGCTCTCCAAATCTCCCAACACGGGCGATGCCAGTGCGTCATCTCGGTCACGTCTGGCCAGGGACAGCAGTATGTCTCACTCGTCAACAGGTGACCATATGTCATCTCGTGTTTCCAGCAGATTGCCTGAGCCACTCTCACCCGGCCAGGGGGAAAGTATATGCGAGACACTACGTGCAGGATTACCGTCCTACGATTCTATCATGAAAGTTGCATTGGCGCACAAAGGCTGGTGGGTTCGAATACACAGAGCTGTTCGTGGCATGTATGACGATACGATTGAGTCTTTCCCAGACTTCGTCAGGCGAGCCTACACGAGCAATCGGCCTTCAGAGCTGGGTAAGATGGCGACTGCGTTCGCTTTCGCTTCTGATGTTGATGGGTTCCATATCTACACCTTGGTCGACCGCCTCGTTGTCTCTGACATGGCGTATATGTCTACTGTGGAAGGCTTGGAGTGCCTGATCTTGCTGGCCATTCTCTATGCGGACGAGGGCCAGCCCAGAAGATCATGGATGATCTATCGCAGAGGAGTAGTGGTTGCGCAGTTAACGGTATGTCAACATCCTGTTCCGGAGACGAGTGCTGGAAGCTGATGATGTCAAAGGACCTGTACCAGGCTGGCCTCCGATCAACAGCCAAGAGACGGCTCTGGCTGTCCATCTACCAAGCAGACCGCATGATGAGCATGTTCCTCGGGCTGCCGTACGGCTTTGTCGACATGCACCATCAGCAAATCCTAGAGGTGAAGCCCGAAAATGACTACTTGGATTCGACCATGACAATCCGCTGTGCGATGATAGCCGGAAAGGTCATTGACCGAAACCACTCGCGTACAAAGGCTTCCATCTCCAAGGCACTGGAACTGGACGAGGAGATGAATGAGCTTGCAACGTCTTTCCCAGAAACCTGGTGGGAGCTTCCTGACCGGGTCCAAGCCGATGGCCACGATTTCGACGAAATCCATGTCCGGCTGCACCAGCAACTCTTCTTCTTCCACCTGCGACTCTACATTTACCTACCGTTCCTCAGCGGTTCCGAAGAAAACTCTGTGCACGGTTCAATCGTGCGCGTCGCCAGCATGGAGGCTGCACGACAGCTGCTGAGGCGCTACCTGAGTCTGCATAGTGACGCGGAGGGGCTGAGCCCGTCTGAGTGCAAGCTCGTGGACTTTATGGCATTTACCGGCGCCATTGTCTTACTTCTAGGTTGCTCAAGCTCCTCCGGCCCAAGGATGTCAAGTGATGGGAATGACATCGAGGCTGTGCTGTCTTTGATTCGGTGCTTGCAACGCCAGGAGAATCAAGAAAACTGTCCCATCGCGTCGCAATGTCGCAAGACGCTTACGGTGCTGCTGTCGAGATCGAGCACGGACGAAGAAGTCCGCATTCCGTTCTTTGGCACAGTCGTCAGAAAAGGCGACCAAACCGTAGAGCAGACCGCTCAGGCTGATCAAAGCTTCATAACAAACTCGAATACGGGTGATAGTCATGCTTTACCTGCTGGCCAACCATCCTCGTCGACGATTGTTACCAACTCTACTCCCGCGAGTGAAGACCTGGCGCTGCCGAGTTCTGCGTATTCGGAGGCACCGTGGGGGATGGAGCACCCCGGCCACATGCCAGAACTGGGCTTCTTGTCTCATCTAGAGGATGCGTCGGCAGATTTCGACACGGGCTGGGAGTTCATCATGGGTCTCGAAAGCTTCTGAATCAGCTCAGAATTTGATGGTATTCTATAGTCTATCTCACTGGAAGCGTCACCCATCGAAGCGACCGGCCGCTGTGCCACCTATAATTCATTCGGTCCTTGAGAAGCTTTCAACCTCCGTTCCTCCCGCTCACTGTAGCGGTCGCTAAATAGATCAAAGTGCGGTCGCATCACGATCGTGTATTTGACCAGCTCCTCCATGCAGTCGACCGGTCGATCGCGCATCGAGCTAGGCACCATTCGGCTGCCCTTCTCTTCCGTTGTGAACTGCGTATATGCCTCGGGAACTGAGCTCTGATTTGGGATGGCGAACATACGCATCCATCGACCGAGGACTCGCAGCAAGTAGACGGCGTTTGCTACCAGCGGCGTTTCTCCACGAGCGCGGGACGCGGCTGCAGGAAGAGGGTGGCCGGCAGCACTTCCAATTCGTCGGCGGCGAGGGCGGCACGGGGAAATCTCGCGTCATCCACGCCATCAAAGACATGTTCCGGCTCAAAGACGGCCTCCACACGCTGATCCTGACGGGCGCCAGCGGCAACGCGGCCGCGCTCATCGGCGGAGTGACACTGCACTCGGCGGCGAACATTGGATTCGAGGGCAGGGTAGCGACAACAAAGAACGTCTCGGAAGAAGAGAAGCTGCGCTGGAAAAGCATGATCATGCTGATCGTCGACGAGATCAGCCAGGTGGGCGGTCTCATGCTCGCGGCGGTCGACAGCCGCCTGCGGCAGTATACAATACAATACAATACAATTTATTGACGCCTGGCGGGTAACCCGAAAGGGCAGCTATTACAATCTGACTATACATTTCCCAAGATATGTCCTGATCTCGTCGAAGCCCATACAAAGTTCATTCTAGTTCATGTCCTCTCTTATACCATTTCTCTGCGGATTCTCGTGGGTTAGTAGGATTGTTAGCAGGTTTGCTTGAAGGCGATTCTCCAAGTTTTCAACGTCCTATCTTCGGCGGCTGAAGCGGTGCCGTGGCACGAGGTGAGGGGTGTGGGTTGGGTGGTTTAGTCGGCCTGCGGAGGGTACATCGCAGACAGAAAGTACATGTGCCCGTATAATTTCCTGCGCCCGAGATGGTTCGTTGTCCGCTTGTATCCACAAACTAGCGATGCGGGCACATCCCGAAACGATCCATGATATGTGGCGATATTACGGCCACATGACAAGAAGCAAGAAGCTGGACACAGATGCGAGCATGAGGTACCCCCGAGCAACGCAGGGAAGGAACAAACAGACTGGGACTAGAGAGAAACGGGGGAAAGGGGAACGAAGGCTTGGCGGTGCTGCATAGCTCGTGCAGGTAAGGTAGTACTTTAGAAGAAGAGTTGAGCGAACCCCTGCGTCTGCTGCAACCTGATGAGAACCAACAGACCCTCACAGCCACTGCCAATCTCAACTCCTCAGACCGGATGCCTCATTTTGGTCCAGAACGTTGTCTGCCTGGTTCAAAAATAGTGCTAACTATGCAGAAGCGCGTGCGCTATGTAACCGTTACAGCGTCAATTAGAGAGGGAAGAAAGCCTGGAAGGCGCAGTTTTCCGCCATGTTCGGTGACATCGAAGTTCCGTTGTCCCCGGTCGCGGCCGGTGGCGGAGCTTCAGCAGAGTTCCGCCGAAAACTCCCAACAGCCCGAGGTCAATGCTGAGGTCAAGTCCAGGGTGCTAATCCGGAACTTCTCAGAGGGCGGAGAAGAGGAGAAGTGGACAGCGGGTGACGCCTAGCAAGGGAAGTGAGGAAACGACGTTGGCGGTTCTCAAGATGGTGAGCAGTTGGCTCCCCACCGCATGCAGCTCGGTTCACAGGAAAACCTAGAGCAAAAAGTCCGGTCACTTCAATCCGATTATCTGGAGGATTAGGTCGCGATGGTGACACTGGGGATCGCAGAAAGTTCGGATTGTTCTCCTGGCACCATATGTAACTCCAGCGGAGTCACCCTATTACAATCAATTTTGTGCATCAAACACACGAAAAGAACCGCGAGGTCAGGACTCGGAAGCACCTGGTAGTAGCTAAGGTACATGCTAAGGCATTGTCACCAACATCTGCCGCCAAGCAATATGCCGACCACTTTTACGCTGACCTAGGTACTATGCGGCATTGGCAAGAACAACAATTCCGGCGCTCATCAAGGCAATGGCCTCCACAGTCTGTCCGCGGCGCGAGATAGCAGCCTCACTCTTCGTTGTTGTTGTCACAGCGGTAGCCCCATCCTCCGTTGCAGCCGTTGCTCACCGTCGGCGCGGCGGTTCCTGTCTGGGTTTACTGATGTGCCGCAAGATAGCAGTTGGCATAGGCCGAGCCGATTTTGAGCCACTCTTTTGGGCTGCGGTCCATGTGTCTGAGTTGAGTAACGGCCCCTTGAGGCAGTCGAGATTGAGAGGAAGTCAACAATGTCGCGTGTTGGCGGGCTGTTGCCTCACTGCGACGCTGTGCTGAACTGGTAGTATGTGTCGGATACTACGTACGGAGATAGCGCAAAATCACGATCCTCTCTCGCCGGGGTCCTGCTCTCGCCGCATCTCCCGTTCTGATCCGATTCGTTACAACGACAGAGGCAGCGGCTCGGCCCCCTTGGCATGCAGACGGAGCAGACTGACAGGGGCACGCGGGTTACCGCATTGCGTATGGTTACCGCCTTGCCCCTGAATCTGTGGAGCGGCTTGTGCTGCATGGCCTCGGTGGGCAGGGTTTCATTGCCGTTGGTTAGAAGCGAAATCTGGACTCTCCGTCCAAAATCCATATCTCCCAAGATCCCAACAAGCAAAATAAATCCTCTGACACACCAACAACATCCTGCAGGACAGGCTTTACCGAGGCTGCGAATCCACAGCCCGAAAGTCGCTTGCGATCGCGGAGGGCTCACTCGCCAAGATATCGTCTCCGCATGTCGTCGGCCTGTTTTGCGAACTCAACGAGGCGATTGTGCTTGACACCAGGTACGGGGTCATTCACTGGCAAGACTGTTCTGGCAGGATTGAGTACCTAGGTATCAAGAGAACTGCCGACTACAACTCGACTGGGGGGATTCGAGGAGTCTGGCGACGGGGTATACAGGAGGAGGCCGACTGGCGTTATAGCACAGCCATCTGGTCGATCCCCGATTTTTTTGAGGTTCTCAAGGACCAGTTCATACAACTCGAATGGGTACCCATCAGCCATTCCACTGTGTCAGGCACAGACGACGACAGGGACTTGAAGGACGAGTACGAGGAAAAGGGAATGATTCCCATGCTGCAGGACATCTAACCGCCAGCACGGCTGGCCCGACCGCCGCATTTGCCACAACGCCGCGCGCGTGTCTCGGTCCTCGGCTTCTGACCACTACCAGCCTGTGTTTCCTCCCTTATTTGCACCTGAACGTCTCTCTGGACTTGAAAATCTTGTCCATCCTGCACAGTAAGCAGCCATCCCCCTGCCTCAGCCGTTGCTTTTTAGCCCTCCAGCGCTTGCTTCGCACTTCAGTCGCTACCCGTAAGTCCCGGAGCTCCGCTCGCATCAACGCCATCTTATACATGATCTTCGACACCCTTTTCGCAGGAACATTAATGTCACGGCACGACTGGTCGGGTTGGTTACAGCCCCGCGACAGGTGCAAAAGACAGCTTCATAGTGCAGCCAGTGATTTGATCTGTCGGATTGAATCATTTGTACCCTTTTACGGGAACATGGCGCAACGGTATGGCTGCACGTTGTGTGCCGTGACAGCACCCGGCCTGGGTACGGTGGTGCCCGGAAGCAGTCAAAGCCCGGGGTGCAGCGAGGGAGGCATACCATTTCCGGCCACGGACCTTTGAGTGTAAACAGACCTTTGAGTGTAACGGGCTTGGCCCGTAAAGGCCTCGGCAAACTCTCGGCCAAGACTCAAGAGGAAAAACTCAAGATTCGGTGGACCTTCCATCTTGTTTGACGTCGACGCACAGGCCAAGGATGTCGAAGTATAAGATGGCAAGTGTCTTGCATGATCTTTCACTCTTTCTCTTCTTTTCTCTTCATTCGAGACAAACTCGTAGAGTCGTCACCAGTTAGTTGCAATATACTCCTGGGACCGTTACACTCTACGAGTACACTGAACTTGGAGAAGAAAAGGAGAGACGACAGACTCTGGTAGCTCGCAAGCATACTTATCCTCGTAGGCGCGCTGGTCTGAGCGCGTTGCTAGAAGGTTCGGTGTGCTGTGGGGCGAGTGGGAATAGCCTCATCAGGGGTCTTGGTATTGGCCGAGAGTCGCCGAGGCTCGCACCGGGCCCAGCCACGAGTTGACTCGCAAATATTCCAAAAAGCTTAACTTAATATGCGCTGATTTGCGTTGATTTGATTTGCATTGATTTGACTATATTTGAGTTGTTGAGAGCGCTGGCTACGGATAGCGGCAGGGGAGACTAGTCGTCCCTGACGCTACACCATGTCAAAGTTCTCGAGGCTGGATAATCTCATGCAATATCATATCGGACCACCAAACGGGCACATCCCACGTGGGGCTCGGTGTCGGGTTGCATTGGGCTCTATGAACGGAGTAGGCGACTTCAGCTGGACTCTTCGGCGGGTCCGCCGGCCAGCCAAACCCTGACGGCTCTCATCGCATGGCTTGAGACGACATACTCCGTACGGCAGTATATAAACATTGTGGCTTGGTCGCAAGATGGAGTGTCTGCCCTTCCTTGGTTCCTGTAGATCATCTCCAGCTCTGGCCCCAGCACTGAGGCGCCTGGCTGCACAGCTTCTCCGCCATGGCAGCAATCTGGGTGCTCGGGGCTGCCGTCCTCGCCCAGGCACTTGTTGCAGCTCTCCGTACTACCGACACACCACGTGAGAGATACGACCTCAACATCACCTGGGCCGACGCCCCAAGCCACCATGCTCTCTCGACGCGTGCCCAGATCAGCGTGCCGCTGAGGATCATGCCGCTCGGGGACTCCATCACCTGGGGCAGCCTGAGCAGCACCGGCAACGGCTACCGGGGCCCCCTCGAGGGTTCCTTTCTGCCGCTGGGGTCGACGTCGACTTCATCGGCACGCGCAAGCACGGCTCGATGGCTGACAAGGACAACCAGGGCCACTCGGGCTCCTTCCTCGCTGAGATTAAGGAATGCTCGTTGCTGTCTGTGGCGGCGCGGCCCAACATTATCCTCCTGCACGCCGGCACAAACGACATGGATCTCAACCGGGACGTCGCCACGGCTCCGAACCGTCTCGCGGCTATCATCGACCAGTTGCTGGACAAGTGCCTGGACGCCAGCATCCTCCTCGCGCAAATCATCTTCTCCACCGACGCGGCCATGCAGGCGCGCACCGACATCTACAACGCCGCCATCGCCGACTTCGCCCGCCGGTACCAGGAGCAGGGCCGCCACGTCATGGCCGTCGACATGACCAAGATCCTCACGCAGACCGACCTCGCGTATAAGAAGCACCCCAACGACTCCGGGGACTGCAAGATGGCCTCCGCCTGGCGCGACGTGATCCAAAAGGCCAACGACGCCGGGTGGATCAAGAAGCCGGAGCCTTATGAAGGCTTCGGCTTCGACCTCGGCCTCGACGGCACCCCCAGCACCGGGAAGCTTTGCGAGGGCCCAAACTGGGTCAACCAGGGTACAGTCGCCGATTTGATCCGTGTGTGGGACCCGGAGGGGCAGGTCGCCCCGGGGTCGACGGCGCCACCCAGGAGACGGTCGTGTTTGGGGACGTGGACGGCGACGGCCGCGATGATTACCTGGTTGTGTTTGGCGATGGGTCCGTTAAAGCGTGGCGAAATGCGGCCAACATCCCTGCCGCCGGCAAGAATCGAAACTGGGAACAACTCGGGACAACCGCCACCGGAGTTGGCGAAGCGGGTTTCAAGGTTCGGTTCGCCGACATTGATGGCGATGGCAGCGTTGATTATCTGATTCTGTACGACGGCGGCGCGGTTAAAGCGTGGCGAAACTCGGGTATCATTGGGACGAGCAACACAAGGCGCAAGTTTGAAGAGCTCGGCACCATCGCCACCGGAGTCGGCGAGCCCGGGTCCAAGGTCCGGTTCGCGGATGTCGATGGCGACGGGCGGGCGGACTACCTGGTGCAGGCTGACGACGGATCGATACGCGCATGGAGGAATACTGGCAATCTCAACAGGGTCGAGGGGAGCAGAAACCTTGAGGAGCTCGGCCAGATTGCCGCTGGAGTATCCGGGGTTCCGGGCTCCAAAGTAGCCTGGCGAATTACGACGGTAACCTCCCTTATTTCTCATTTCTTTCTCTTCCATTTCTATTGTTTTCTCCTTTTCCTTTCGTTTGTTCTTTAATTTCTTCATTTCTTTCGTTTTCTTTTTTTTTCTTTTTTTTTTCCAATTCTCAGGTGAGTCACATGGATGGTTGACTGACAACGGAGAGTAGGGGATGGTCTTGCCGACTACCTTGTGACTTGGGACGGCGGGTCAGTCGAAGCGTGGAGAACAACGGTGATCTGGAGAAGCAGCCCGAGCTGCCGAGCTGGGAGAAGCTCGGGGTTATTGCGGCTGGTGTCAGCAATCAAGGGCGTGTCGAGTTCGGGGATCTAAACGGTAAGAACGGCTGCAGCATAGGGCCCGGATGATGGCTATCATAGCTTCTCAACAGAGGCGGTGCTGACATTGTGACAACCAGGAGACAAGAAGGCAGACTATCTCAATGTCGACCGCGAAACAGCCGCTGTGCGCGCCTACATCAACCAGTGTGCCGGCAGTACGGACCCGAACGTCGTGAACCCCGGGACTGGCGGATCCAAATCCCCCGAGTGGGAGACCATCGAGTGCACAAACCCCGTCATCGTAGACGCGGCCATCAATCCGACCACACAATGGAACGGCGTCTTTGCACCGCAGGCGTGGGAGTGAGTATTATTACGTCCCTTGTCTCCCCTCAGCTTGTGCTGACCGAGCTATCAAGAGCGGTAGTCCAAAATTGGACGACGAATCGCAGCCCCGGAGGACTCTCCTTCTCAGAACAAGTCAGCAACTTCTTCCACGGGCCGGAGCACATGAAATGCCACTTAAATGCGGACAACAACGGGTGCACCTCGTTTGTCCAGTGTCACGACACCAATCACCCTGCGGGCTATTTCATCCTGAACTCCATGACTGCTCTTAATAACGTGAGTCTCCCTGCCTCCCTCCCTCGCACCCTCCCCCCTTCCCTCCAATAAGCCTAGCAGTCCCTAAACTAGGCTCAGATGGTCTGGAACTTCTACGACGGCATCGTCCGGTCGCAGGTCAATATTGTCGCTACTGCCGACAGCGTACAAAAGACTTTTGCCGTACTACCTCGCAGTTCGCAAGTTGACAAGATCTTGCTCGACATCATTGGCCTCGGATTCGCCTTGGGCGCTGCCCCCATGTGGAACATGGGTATGATTTGCCGATCCCTTCTACCCCTACCTACTACGGTATGTTAACATGCAATGGGTCCCAGCTCTCAAGAGGATTCCGTACTTCGCGGCCAACGGAAACGAACTCGGAACTCTGAAGGACTTGGTGAACAACATCGTGGCGAGCACCATCACAATCGTCAAAGACAAGATGCCGTGAGTTCAATGATGCCATCACCGTCTTTAGGGTCTCTTCAACCTGATACTGACGACAAGGGGGTGGCGGCTAGAACAACACCAGCCGACATTAGCAAGACGCTGGCGCTGAGCGTCGCCGAGATGTGCGTCTTTTGGTACGAAAGCATCGACGAGATGCACGGCAAGCTCTTCGACGGGTCCGACGACTCCATCTCGACGCTCGACAACCTGTTCAAGGACGGCAAGCTGATGCAGAACGGTTACGAGCCCCTGGATGACCTCGAAATCCAGGCTGTCTTCTCCAAGGCGCTTTACGCGCTGCTGATCCCTCAGGCCTGGTCGCTCTCGCCCGGTCTCGGCGTCGTCGTCATCGACGCCCAGGTCCCATGCGGCACCATCGAGCCGCTCAAGGACGACGTGTCGACCGAGGACGGAAACGCGTCGTGGGTGTGCTACAAGGACCGCATGTACTTCCTCCTTGCGGCGAGTGGAGAAGAGAGAGATTGCACCCTCGTCCCTGGAGGTGGTCCCGGTTCCTGGGATTGCATCTCCAACAAGTTCAGCCTCCCGCCGGGGCTGAAGACAATGGACGGCAAGGCGTGGGCTGGCCTGAACAAGGAAGAACTGGTGCAGGGGTGAGTTGACTCCCCCCTCTTCTAACCCACCTGTGACTCGCATTTGTCTGGGTAAAATTAATTACTGACGGCCCAACCTCCGCTCACAGTGCTGTCAACACGTTTGAGGCCAACAACAGACGGCGGCGAGCCGGCCAACACGAGCCTGGAGCCCAAGTCCATCGGCACGCTTCAGGATTTGAGCGTCACCGCCCCTGGCGTCATCTTTCTTCCGATCTCCACCATCAAAGAGGCGCGCGAGAACTGGGCATGGGTGTTTCGCGGGGGCAACCTCTCTGCCCACTATCCCTGCAACTAAGGTGCCATAATCTAAGTAAAGGGGATGTTGTGGCACGAGTCAAAAGTATCTCGGACAGATAGACGCATTGAATCAATAGCTTATATGTAATACAGTTGGAGACACTGAGTGACCTAGAGTTGGTGAGACTGAGTGGCCTAGAGTTGATACCACGTTACATGGTAATCAGTCCCATCCGCGGCCTTTTTAGGGTGATCAGTGCCGTGTCGATCTTTGTTCATCTCCTGGGAATCTCTGGTTCGTCGCCCATCGCCCAAACTCAATGCTTTGCTCAGAGGTAGACCTGCCAGTGGAATTTGTCTCGCCGAAGGATGCCGCTGGCCACCATTCTTGACCAGCCCAATTTGACGGCTGCACCGCGGGCGACCTGCCGGTCTCACCCGGGGGGGGGGCGCCTTTCTGTGGTGTACGAAAAATGGGGTTACTACACAAGGAGCGAGAACCTAGCGACGTGAACTCGGCGACCTGGCGTGCTCGCGCTGCGAGTACCGGCCCCGGCGCACATCAACCTGTGACATGAACTATCCGAAAAATATTAGTGCTTGACTTGAAATCCAACTTTTAGGCGTCGGATCTAAGGCGTCGGCCCTCTGGTCTCCCAATTGACGTATCGGTGTATGCTACCTGACGTTTAACTTTAAACCTCAGGGCGTATAACATCAGGGACAGCTTGCAAGCAATGATTTATTACATCTACCGCATAGAGCCTTCTTACTACATTGAGACGCGCGCAACGCGTCAGCCGGCTCCGTTCTTTCAGTCTTTAGATTATTCCCAGCATCCTTGTTTGGTAGACACTCCATTGGTCTCCTATCTAACCGCCTCCAGAACCTGGAGCTCTGGTCCAGCATCACCATGACACTATCCACTAGCCACATCTCGTCTCGCCCATATTACAGCGCAACATGGACAGCCATTACGACACCTTGGTCCGGCTGATTTACGGCTCCATCATGATAGAGTCCGCCGGAAGCAGTCTTGACATCACCAGGCAGCTGTGTACAGCCGCGTTTCGGGGGCAAAATGTCACTGCCCACATCAGCGACACGGACCCCAATCACGGGAAACACCTAGCGAAGTCACCGGCGTCCCGCCAACCGCGCCGAGGTTGTCCAGTCCCGCTGCGAGGGCATCCAGCACTCCCGAACCTTCTAGCATGTGTTCGAGTCCAAGATCTTTAGCGACGGGTGGCCTTGGTCTGAGGAGCTAATCCTGGACACCCATCGCATCCTTCACCGCGGCCTGTACAACGTGGTTGGCGCCGGCGAGTACCGGACGTACGAAGTCGCTGTTAAGTATGAGAAGCCCGGTGAAAAGAAGAACAAGGCGCACCTCTGCATGCGGGCGAGAGCGGTGCCCGGATATGAGGGACATGGTTGAGCATCTCAACAGCAACGTCGCCGGGGCCGAGCGGCTCGGACGGCTCAACCCCTCCACCCTGGCGGCGCGCTACCATCACCAGTTCGTCAACATCCACCCGTTCGGCGACGGAAACGGCCGGATGTCAAGAATCATCCTCAAGGCCCTGCTGCTGCAATTGAGGTGTGTCAGTGTGTTTGGGCTTGATGCGCAGGAGCGGGACGACTACATCGGGATTGCCACCAGGGCTTCGAAGGTCTTTCACGCCGAGGATATGGAGGTTGACTTTTCGGAGCATACGGGCCACCTCAAGTTGACCAAGTTTGTTTTGGCCAACGCCCAGCGCATGCTAGTATGAGGAAGCTGCACACGGAAGATGGTAATCAAATAGGTGCAAGGCAAGATCAACTCAGCCGGGCCTGAGGTGTGGTCCTTCCCAAGCTAAGAGGCCTTACGTGCCACCCGAAAGAGCAGGAAATAGCGCTCACGAGCTTTCTATGTTCCTTCAGTTCCGAACCAGAGCTCATTGGAGCCACTCCCTTCGCCATCCCTTCGGATCCCGCGCTCGCCACGGCAAAGTCAACCAATCTAGCATTGGTCTCAGCTGAGCAATCGTTGCTTGTTTTACTCAGTGTCTCCTCTCACCATGCCGCTCACAATCGACATCTCGGACGCTGCCATCGAGAAGACGGAGAAGATGCACCACCTCCATCTCTGGGGTGTGCGGATTTCTCTGTGGGCGAAAAACTGCCTCGTGTGTGGGAAGGCCACCAACTGGAAGAGAATCCGCTGCCGGTGCGGAGATGGCTTCTACTGCGACACTGAATGTCGAACAAACGACATGGGCCGGCAGGAGTACGTGTGCAACGGCCTTGGCCGCGTTCCCCTCAGGCATCGTCCCAGCCCCAACCACCGCCGTGCTCTGGTGATTCATATCGAGATGCCTTCTGTCAAGTTGGTCTGGGCTGAGGTCCAGGGCAGCAATCTCATCATTCACCACCCCAGTCTCGACGAGTATTACAAGCCCCGGACCGGTGCTGACAGGGTCTGGGTCGACTTGGCTGTCATCAACCCGGCCCTGGATCTGGAGAGCTTCCGCAAGATTGGACATGGTATTGCAATGGGTGAGTCAGTGGTGCAAGACTCCCGGCCAATCCTCGTGCACGAAGTTCTAACACGCTTCCTTCATGGCAGGGTTTGCCTCCATCACGATGGATCCCAGGTATTCGGTAGACCCCTCGGAGCGCAATGGAGGGCTGGGGGATTTGCAGGCCCCGTGCCACAAACTTCATTGGGCCGGCCCTCTTATCTTCTTTTGTTATGGATACGACATGAACGATTACATCAAGGTTGATCCAGCGCGCTCGGACAACACTGACCGCGGAGCCGAGGCTGGCATGACCGAGTTGGAGATTTGGAATGAGCTGGAAGGGCTGCGCTGGGAACGGAACAGACCAGATGAGCCAGAAACAAAGGCACGACCGCGGGAGAAGCCGGGCAGGGACGGCATGGTCTGGAAGTGGAAGGTCAAGGAGCACGGCACGTCGATGGAGGTCCTTGACCTTCATCACCACGATTACAGCATCATCGTCGATTATCTCAAGGCCTCGCATCTAAATCGCATCCCCAGCCCCCTCCCCGGTTCGCCCGACACGCTGCAGGCAGTCCACGTCTCCGACCCCAATCATCCTGGCAATCAGTTGGATAAGTATTGGGAAGCTCCGGAGGGTAAGTCTCTGGCAGAAGGGTCCTCCCCAGTCCAGGAGAAGCCGCTACCCATCAAAGAAGACAAACTACGTTTCGACGCCATCACGCTGCCCGCCCATCCTCCCAAGGGCTTCCTACCCATGGTCGGAGCCCTCGCCGTCGGCCTTCGGTGGATGGTCAAGTACTCCATGGACATCAACCCGCCGTTTCGCGGCAGCCTGCCCGACACGCACTTCCACGGCCCCTTGCGAAACCTGCTCTGGGCAGCGAGGCTCACAAAATGCGGCGACTTGCCGACGCTGGAGCTCCGCACGCCCGGACCGACCTGCGACTCGGCCATTGTCACGACCGCGGACACGACCTCGATTTCGGCGGAACACGTCAGGGCGCTGCTGAAGTACCTCGACTTCATCGACCCGTTCGAGTGGTCGCGCCACGGGCCGCGCGGCTTCGAGGTGTATTGGAAGACGTACGCAGTGGTCGAACTGAAGAATCCCCGCTACCTGGACCCATACGAGGCGGCGGAGATGAACAGGGCCGTGCTGCGGTATTTTCCTGATCACGCAGCCGCGTACCCGGATCTTGAGCGGGAGGTGGCGCATATGACGATGGAAAACCTGACACCCGAGGACCAGCTGCGCGTTCACGAGATTGGTCAGATCAGAAAGATGATACTCAAGGTGATACGGTGGTATCGCGACACGAATACCAAGTTTGCTATTGGGCGCGGCCCGAGTGTGTTTGACCGTGTTGATGTTCGTTGACCTTACTAAAGGGCGGACGGGCGGTGGTGGACAACACTTTGTTGGATCAGCGGAGCAGAGATAGTTGTCTGATAAGGAATGCCCTTTTTCCGGCAGAAGTATACGCAATGGCTTCCAATGCCTTTCTTTCCCTAATTACAGTGGCTACTGCCGTGCCAGCTCATGTTGGCAACCAGTAAACAGCGAGCTTTGTCTGCCCGCCATACCGTATTCAAGATGATATTTGACCATCGGGGATGCTTTCTTGGTTTCCTTGCGGCAGTACCGAGTAATCAACTGCTGACGAGGTGTGTCGTTTCCGGCCCTTACCAGTTCCATATTCTGTTTCAGCGGCGAGAAGAAGCTGATCGGCGAGGTGGGAACCGTGCTAGTAGCTGGCATGGACCTCTACTATGTATAGTTAGCCCCTAGATGAGACATGGCATGGGTAAGCTTGTGTTCTGCGACAAAGAGACACCCTGATTGTAAGCCTCCATCCTCCATTCCAGTCTTTTGATAGTGTATGTATGGAGCGGTCCCAAGCTGGCGGGGTTATCTTAGAGAGGCTTGTTTGAGACCTCGATCCTTCTGAACTTGAACCATTGAGATGGGTCTTTTCAGAGGAATGCGTGCTAGACTCGGATGGTTCTCGACAAGAGCCAAGGGACAAACATCGGCATGAATAGAATACTCTTCTATCCCATCTCAAGCTTCAGATCAAGCAAGATAGTATCCTCGAGTACGCAACCGTTCTCCGGCTGACCAGACAGCTCTTGCAAATACTGGGGCCATGCATAGAGCCGGGTATGCCCACGGAGGTTTGTCTGAGCCCTTATTCTAGGCTAAGTTACGAGGAATAGCGATTGATACGGAAAAGTCAGGTTGTCGTCCTCTGGTAGTTGCAAGCAGCAACTGCAGTGGTGGGAGATATCCCACCATCCAGAGTGGGACAGCCTTATCTTATCTACATACAATCAACCACCCCACCAATGGTGGGGTATAACACCTAGCCCTAACCCTGCACGATACCTTCCGGTATCAGCGATTCTGATACATTGACCCTCTGCATCAAATATTAACGGCGCAAATGTGACCTTCACAGCCCGCTGGCTTTGTAAACTGTCCGCCGAGGCCATCCTCGAAGTCTTCGGAGCCCCCAAGACGGAAAGCCTCGTTCAGCCGTGACGGCAAAGCGCTTAGCATTGGCATGCCCAAGCAATTGGTACAGAAAGTCGGGCAGGACAGCTGGATCAACGAGGACGATAAGGAAATTTGCGTGATTGACCTCGGCGAGGCCTTCCCTTATAAAGCTTTACCCGCCCAACTCGCTGAGCCGTCGGATTTGCGGGTACCCAAAAAGCTGCTTGCCCAAAGGTTCTATTACAGAATCCACCTTTGGCGAACTGGTTGTCTGGTAGGACGTCCCCTTTCTTAAGATATTGGATACTATGTACCGAAGGGCTGATACGATTTGAATACCTTAGATATACACCTTGGTAATCGATAAGAGGCCTTTCCAATGGCTCTGGGACGTGGACGTTCTCGTGGCGCAGATGATTCACTTTGTCGACGATTTACCATCCGAGTGGCGAGCTGACTGGGCAAGGATGAAAAGAAGTGCTGGAAGGGAGCACGAAGATATACCAGGTATTGACACTCCCTGTCACGGCACTGGACCGCCGATCCCTAGGTCACGTGGCACATTGCACTTAGCTTCAGGTTCATCCATCCATAGCTTCCTTTCCTCTTCATAGAGCAACGCAGTTATCTTCCCAGACCTACTATGGTTCCGTGACA